TCTATGCTTCTTGAAGTTGAATGCCTTCTTCCTTCAACAAGTTAGGAAAGTTTTCTGTCACTATTTCTTCAACTATATTCTCTAACCCTTGCCCATTTTCTTCCTCTTCGGGGACTCCTATGATGCGAATGTTATTACGTTTCCAGTTGTCCCACAGTTCTCTTAAGCTGTCTTCCTGTTTTTTAATTGTTTTTTTCTTTTGGTTTTCTGATTGGTTGATTTTTTTCTACCCTGTCTTCTAATTCATTGATCCGGTCCTCAGCTTCCTCTACTCTGCTGGTTAGTCCTTCCAATGTGTTCTTATTTCTGCTATGTCATTCTTCATTTCCACTTTGTTGGTTTTCAGTGTTTCTGTATCTTTACTCATGGTGCTGATGTCCTTACTCATGCTGTTGAGCTTCCTCAAGATCATGGCTCTGAACTCTACCTCTGGTAATTTGCTTAGCTGCATTTCATTTATCTCATCTTCGATAGAGTTCTCTTGTTCTTTCATTTCAGATTTGTTTCACCATTTTGGCTATCTCTTGAGCCTGCCAAATTTTCCCTGTGGGTGTTGGTGTTCTGCTGTTTGTGGCTCCCTCTACTGGGTTTGGATGAGCCTAGGTGAGCCCACGTTAAACACCACTGTCAAGTCCTATTTTCCTGGGTATATTTGCAAGCCCAGGAAAGGTTCAGTTATTCTCTAGCTTTTTCCTGGTGGCTAGTAGTCTCCGTTACTCAGTGCCTTGGAATGTAGCCCTGGTGTTCTGCCTAAGAGAATTTCCAGAGGGTGGGATAGATGCTGGTTATTAATGAGCCTCAATTTACAATTCTTTGCCTCACCTGGGAAAAGCTGAATCTCCAAGGGGCAGTGCTGCTGCTTTTCCCCACAGCTCTGGGAAGGAGCACACTGGCCACTGTCCTTTGTGGCTGCAACTCAGCAAAACCTCTGAGTGCCCTCCAAATTTTGGTTGTCCCCACAGAGTTCCATCCCAGTCTTCCCTCCTCTGCCGAAGCCCCAGGTGAGTGGCTGTGGCTATTTTAGGGCTATGTCTTGGTTCTTTGCACTGTGGAGCGGGCTTAGTCTTTATTCCCCAAGGGTGCTGCTCACAGCTAAGACTGCTGCTATCCGTGGGCTCCAGCCCACCGCCCTCTCATGCCTCTGCAGATGCTACCAGTGTCTCTGGTTATATGGTTCTGTCCTGCTGCTTTTCTGTTGCTTTTTTCCGAGGATTTTTCTTTTAGTTGTAATTCCTGTTTGGTCCTGGGAGATTGACTGCGTAGCTTCTATTCACTCCGCCTCTATTTTTCACATCTTCTATGCCTATCTTGTGCACAGCTGGGTCTCACAGGCCTCTCTGGTGCCCCCCAACACCCTGCAGGTCCCGCGGGTAACTGGATCGCACAGTCCCTTTGGGTCCTGGCTCTATGCCTATGTTATGGGCTGCTGGGTCGCACAGGCCTCTCTGGTGCTTCAACACCCCACAGGTCCCATGGGTAATTGGATGGCACAGTTCCTGCTGGGTCACACAGGCCTCTCTGGTGCTTCAGCACCTGGCATGTCCCACGGTAACCGGATGGCACAGCCTCTGCTGGGTCGCACAGGCCTCTGTGGTATTTCAGCACCCCGCAGGTCCTGGGGGTAACTAGATCACACAATCTCTGCTGGGTCGCAAAGGCCTCTCTGGTGCTTCAGCGCCCCACAGGTCCCAAGGGTAACTGGATAGCCCAGTCCCTGCTGGGTCGCACAGGCCTCTCTGGTGCTCCTGCATCCTGCAGTTCCTGCAGGCGGGCAGCTGGATTGCATCAGTCTCTCTTGGGCTCTGGCTTCTCTCTGCTCTTGTGAGCTACTGGACTGCACAGGCCTCTGTGGAGCCCCAGGTCCTGCCCATGGCAGCTGGGGAGTGCTGCTGCCCCATGGGGCTCAACTTCTGCTCAGCTTTTGTTGTAGTTTTTGGGGATGGGTCTCAGCTGCTGGTCTGTGCTTCTGTTGCCTGGGGATGGATGTCTGCTCCCCAGCCTCTGTTGCTGGGGGTATATCTGGACTCTGATCGGGCTGCTACTATGGGGGATGGTGCTGGGCTCTGGGCTGTCTGTGGCTTCTGTGACCGGCACCTTGGGAGCTCCACTACTGTGCACCAGTCTGTGTTGACACAGAGTGTCCACTGGTTCGATGGTGCCAGGTGCGCTGGTGGGCTCAGGTTGCTGGGCCATAGCCGCTCCCACTGCCTCCTTCCAGGGAAGACCCGGGATCTTCCAAAATGGTGGGACCTCCCCGGGGTACAGGGAGAAGTGCCCTGAAGGGCAGCTTACCGAGGTAGCCGGCTGCTCCCGTCCGCAGCACAGGAACCTACTGCTCTGCATCTCTGCACTGCTTGGGTTTTGTTGTCCACCTTTGCGTCCACTCACACTCTCTCACACACTCACCCTCCCTCTGGTCCTGCCCACCGCCATCTCCAGAAAGAGATTTAATACCCTATTATTGCATTTTTAAGTTATTTCAAGTTTTTTCCCTTAGCACTCTGTCCAGATTCCTCTTTCTTTGGTGTAACACTAATGTGTAGGGAACAGAAAATCTTTCCAGGCAACATTCATTGGCAAAGTGCTTTTTGCATTACTGCTGTTGCTGCAGGTGCAGGCCCTGGGGCAGAGGGGAGTGTGGGTCTCACACTTAAGGCTGACAACTTGTTGCAGGTGGAGAACTCCCATGGTGCATCAGATCTGGGTTGGCTCAGAAAATCACCGAGCAGTCAGTAGCTTTAGGGAAGGTGTTGTCTGAAAACTAAGCATCTCAAATATCCATCTAGAAAACAATTAGGGACCTCAAAGCATACTGTGGCCTACCTTATTCTGTCAGGGGTCCCCGATAGAGAATAGTTTGAATTTTTACTTCAGACAGGCTGAGAGCGAATCCCTGTAAAGGTTTTTTTTTTTTATTTTTCTTAATCATCACCCAAAGAAATGTTTATTCATTGATCTTTAGAGAAAGGAAGGGAGAGAGAGAGAGAGCGCACCGAGAGAGAGAAACATTGATATGTTGCTTTCCATATGCACCTGACTGGGAATTGAACCCGCCGCTTTTGGTGCACAGGACGATCCTTCAACCAACTGAGCCACCCAGCCAGGGCTGTTTTCCCATTTTAAAATTGCAGTTCCAGAACAGTACTGACTGTTCTACGGGAAAAAAGATACCACGTTTCCACTGATAGGCCCAATGATCAATCACGTTGTGACAATAATATGAAATGAACTTAATAGCTAGTCTCATTGTTTTTGAACTTGAAAATTATAATGTAAAAAGCTTTAAGTATTTTACTTTTTATTAAAATATACATAGTTGGGTTTTACTATTGGTGCTGCCTTCTTTTCTCTGTGAGACTATTTTGTGTATCTTCTATATGCTTTTAGGAACTTTTAATTAAATGTGTATTAAAGTATAAGAATTTATTTTGAAAACTGTAAAATTCTTCTTAGGTTTTTAATTAAATTTTGCTTGATAGCTAAAAGGGGTATTTAGCCTCTAAGCTTATTAAAGAGATTAGGTGAGGCTTGTTTTCTTTCCACATTAAGGTGAATTAAGGATATGATTTAGGTGTGATTTGAAGATAGTCAAACATTCCTTTATGCTTTTGTCCAGCTTTCTGAGAATTATGTCTGTAATAAGATCAGGTTTCTTGCTTCAACTGTGAAAGTATGCATTGTGCTACTTAGTAACTCACAGCCCATTAACCCCAGAGTAGGACAATACTGAGATGGCCCTGCGAAATGTCGTTCTGTGGCAACTGTTTTAAAAGTGGTTAAGAAACCTGTCAGAATGGCCGCCATCAACAAATCATCAAACAACAAGTGTTGGCGAGGGTGTGAAGAAAAGGGGACTCTAGTACACTGCTGGTGGGAATGCAGACTGGTGCAGCCGCTATGGAAAACAATATGGTGCTACCTCAAAAAATTAAAAATTGAACTTCCATTTGACCCAGTGATCCCACTCCTGGGAATATACCCTAAGAAGCCTGAAACACCAATCAGGAAGAATATATGTACCCCCATGTTCATAGCAGCACTATTTACAATAGCTAAGATCTGGAAACAGCCCAAGTGTCCACCAGTAGACGAATGGATAAAAAAGCTGTGGTACATATACACCATGGAGTACTATGCAGCGGTAAGAAAGAAAGATCTCTTATCCTTTGAGACGACATGGAGGGACCTGGAAAGTATTATCCTAAGTGAAAGAAGCCAAGCAGAAAAAGACAAATACAACATGATCTCACTTATATACGGAATATAATGAACATAACAGTCTGAGGAATACAGTAGACCCAGACACATGGAAGTTGGGCACAGACTGACATCCCTCAGAAGAGGGGATAGGGGGTGGGGGGGTGGGAAGAGATAAACCACAGAACTTATATGCATGTATGCATGACCAATGGACATGGACAACTAAGCCGGGGACAGGGTGGAGGGGGGGTGGGGTGGGGGGTGCGAATGGGGTAAAAAGGTAAAATATCTGTAACAAAAAAATAAATAAAAATTCATTTAAAAAAAAAAAAAGTGGTTAAGAAAAAAATTAAAGGTTAAAATCATTGAAAATCTGTTAACTTATGAGATATGGTTTTAGTCCATTCAGAATTCTTTTTCTAAAAATGATTAGTTATTAATGATACTTTTAAAAGATCATCATAAACTTTATTTGAATATTATATCATGCACAATGTAGAGTTGTGGCTTGAAGAAATAGACTGTAAACTCATCTCTAAAATACCATTTGTTTTAGTAATTAAATCATTTCTATAATTTAACAATAATGTGAACTTAAACATTCGTTTTTAACATGAAACAAACTTGCATGTCTCATCTTAAACTAAGAATGTAAATAATTTCGTGATGTAAATAGAAATTTTCTTTTGAAACTTTTATATGTTTCATATTAATAGACATTAAATCTTAGAAGGAAAAGACAGATTTGTAAAATTTATTAGCCATGATAATTTTGTTTCACTTGGCTCTTCTTTTTCTAGGATTTACTAACCAGACATAAAGTATTGGTAGCAGACTTCTTGGAACAAAATTATGACACTGTAAGTAGAAGTTATTTTTAAGTCTTTACCTCATTCTCTCTTCCTCTGCCCTTATTCCTGTTTATGAGCACTTATTCCTGTTTATGATCCATATAGAAACCAACCATGTCAACCATATGCCCAATTTGTCTGTTACCTGGAAGTCAGGTCATCAGGAAACTTTATGGAAAGTTGGAGAAGGCAGCAGGTCAGGGCTGGCTCATTTTTCACATCTCTTCCTCTTGTCGTGCTCTGGAGCTCCAAGAAACAACTAGCACCTGCTCATCTTGATCTTGACTCAAGAGCATCCATGTTGCCCTTAAGAGCCAGTAGGTAGCTCTTCCAACTGGAAGAGCACCCCAACCTTACTAAGATAAACCATTTTACCTAGTAAATAATTCACTGTACTTACTAGTAGAAGTACCAAAATATTTCTGTCTTCTAACTCCTTTCTCTAATAGTGAATACAACTCATCCTTTTGCAATATGGATGAAATATAACACTTCAAGGAAACTTTTCCTAATCACACCCTTAACACACCCACATGCACTCTTTCTCCCTTTTTGCCTCCCTACATAGCCCCTCTCTCATTTTTCATATTGCATTATTATGGTGTGTCTGTATCTAATTGGCTGGTTCTTGAGCTCCCTGAGAGACAGAATCTTACCTGTTGAAGACTGGGGTTCAGAGTACAGTATAGACTTTCGAGTCCACTTGTTTGGCTTCCATACCCAGCTCTCCCTCTTACTAATTGGGTGACCCTGGGCAAGTTACTGTACCTACTTCAAAATAAGGATTTTAATGCCTACCTCATAGGGTTGTGGTAGGAATTTGACAAGATTTAAAGTTTTTAAGATAGTACCTTGGTAAGCGCTCATTGTCCTGTACCTTTACACATCCAAATCACAGAAGTTAAACCATGTCTCTTTTATTCATAAATTGTTTGCTAGTCTCCCTTCAAGATTAAGAATAAGCAGTATAATCATGAAATCAAAGTGATTTTCATATCCTAAAATTAGCAAGAAGAGATTCATGACATCAATTAGATACTTTGATCTAAATGTAAAACATGAAGGGAGACTAATTCTTATTCCCCATGGCATCCAGAAGCCTCTGGTTGTTCAGTAAGTATAAATGCTAGATGGAATGTTTAAGAAAGAATTCTTAGATGTTACATTTATAATAAGTGAAAAAAGAAAAAAACCAGGCTAAGATAGCTTGACAAAAGCTGTAGCATCAACTGCTACTCTTTTCTATAGAATGAGTGAGGTAATGTGCAATAATGCTTTGAAATCAGGGAATACACAACAGTTTGAAAGACCGTGAACTCATTCTCTTTGATCCCCTTATTTATCTAATTTTGTCTTTGTATCTATAGTCACTTCTTGTATAATTTAATAGTTTCACAGACACAGAGCCAGCTGCACTAACCTGAATACTAGCCCTGAGAACTTATGTTCCCTCAAACATTTCATATTTCTTGAGTTTAGCAATAAACCACTAAACTGGAGCACATAATATATGACTCTAAAATAATGAAACTAGTAGGTAACTTGGAGAGTCAAATCATCCCTTATACATGTATTTGCATTTTATGGTTGCAATTAAAACTTACCACAAAGTGTGTCCAATAAATGTAATGACCCACAAAATCCTCTTTGGGTTTCATGACAATTAGAATAAATAATAAGTCCTTCATATAAAAACGTATAGTTACTGTGACTTTATTGTGAGGTACACATTTCTATATATACTTTTCACTTTCTTCTCTCTCGGGAATTACCATCAGTGTGCACAGCTTGCCCTCCCTCGCACTTGGCCCTCTGAGGACCAGGACTGTTTTTTACGTTCTTCAGCCTTTGACCACTCTAGCTTTTGGTTCTCTGCTGGTCTTGCTCCTTCCACCTTAGTCATCTCTGAGTGTGTCCATGCATGGTGGGGAGTTGAAACCGAGCTCCCCCAGCTGCTGGCTCCCTGCGTTGAACTGAAGGGCCTAAGTAATGACTGTTGATCGACCACATTAGGGAACAGGGCGTCCGTCACCAGTGTCCCCCCACTTCTGGGGAGAGTAGAAGTGCTCCAGAGAGGCTAGTTGGGATTAGTATTGCTATCTTGTGGCAAAAGCAGTCCTATTCCTCTACCTGTTGATGCTATGAATTTGATAATTTGATCATTTATGAGTTGCCAGGTGAAACCCTAAATGTATTTAATCTTTATATATTAAATACATAATAGCTACCAGCAAGTCTACGTAAACAGATTTCTTTAATATGGCATAAAATGATTTGTGTTGCAACTTAATAGATGTTTTATTAAAAATGATTTATTATGAGAGTACTCAATTACTACATTTTTCTACTCTATTTCTAATTTGCAAAACTAAAATAAAATAGAGAAGTGCATCTCTTGTATCACTTGACCTCCCTATTTCTCAGTGTCTTTATGTGTAAACGAGGATGGTGAAAGGGGAAACCTCCCAATGGACAGTGGTGGTCAGTGTAGGGTTAATCACACAGAGATAGAAAGCACAACAACTGGGCTGTGCTGGACTCAAGGGTTGGGGATTTACTTCTGAAACAAGAAAGCAAGCAAACCTAATGCAGAGAAATAACTTGGTTTTACACTGTAATATTTCTTTTCTTTTCACTAGATTTTTGAAGACTATGAGAAATTGCTTCAATCTGAGAATTATGTGACTAAGAGACAGTCTTTAAAGGTAATATCAAATTTAACTTAGTCTCCATAAGATATCTTATTAGTAAATGATTGGTCTATTAGTAAACTAGTAAATACAGAAAAATTTAAGTATCCTTTTTTTTTGTAATTTGAGAGATGTTTTATGTTACAACCATACTTTGTAGCAAAATAATATGTGTCCTGCCTCAAATACTTTTTAGAAGTACCAATATAAATAATGAGTACATGCTAATACACAAAAAGGGTGTGTGTGTGTGTGTGTGTGTGTGTGTGTGTGTGACCACACGGCATCTATAATTTGAGATTACATCTCCTATGAAATTCCTGTGGAAATGCCGCTCTCTCTCATCAAACAGAGCAGGGCTACATCTCTCTGTGAGTGGCCTTCCTTCCCTTAGTGAAAAGTACCTGGAAGCAGCCACTTGTCCAGGAGGGACAGCTCCTGAGGGAGTGGGGCTAGACCTGCATCTCTGCTCTTCAGGTCTTACAGATATAGTAAGCCCTCGATTTTGCAGACCTCAATTTAATGGACTTTGGATCTAATGGACAAAATTTCCAGTCCATATGTCATATGTGAAAATTAACACCCTGTTAATTTTAAAATGCTCTTAACCAAGATTTGCTTATAATTAACAGATTTTTTTTTGTTATTGATTCACTGTTATTTAAACAAATTTTAGTAAATAGGCCATATGTTGGAAAAACACTGTAGTAATTTTGCCAACATAAATAAATATTACATATCTACAACTCTGGTCTACGTATTTAAATCCAAGAGTCACCACTCCTAAACAGTGTTCAGGAATGATTAGCATGTGATCACATGGCATTGCAAGGTAATTGGTTCTTTTGTCGTGTGACCGGACTTTCTGCGGCAGTTCTAACAATTGAGGGCCGATGTTCCCATGTGCACTAAGCCACCCCAGCTGTGTGCATGTGTTTACTCGCCGTGACTGGTAACTACACACATTTACTAGACCTGTTCAGTAAATTTAAAATTATAGTAATACATATAGAAAGCTTTTCAGTGAAATTAAACTTTTCATATGTACTTAATTTTAATTACAAAAATCTGTCTACATAAGTAAAAACAGGTTAAACTAATTTGTCAATTTTTAACATATGCATTCAAACAACCTACTTTATTATATAACAGAGTTTTTGGCTTTAACAAACACCCCTCACCTGAATTAGTCCATTATATTGAGGTTTTTACTGAATTCAAAAGAATGTTTTTTGGCAGATAATTCTTGGCTGGTTTTCTTTTTTTTTCTGTTTTTTTTTTTCATCATTTGTTTTTTGGTCAAGTAATTTGTATGATGTTTGAACTTAACTAAGTATCACTTGTTTATTTTTATGTTTGGGATGACATTCATAGAACAATGCATTTGTTTCTAAATATTGGATAGTTTTAAGCTAAAGCCATACATTACATCTATTTTGTACTACATCTTTGTAAATTCACTTTACACACGATTGTTTGTTGGCCACGACTGCTTCCCCATCTCTGTGCCCTCTCTGTTCTAGCCTCACCCATGGAGGACAGGTCAGTGTACTGTTTCAGCCAGTCACTCAGCACTCTTTATTGAGCTTCCCTGGGATGGAAACCCATACAAGGTGATCCATGTAGGAACAATACCGCACTGCTTTCCTTGCTGGAGCTCGGAGTGATGAGACTGAGCTCTAGGCAAGGGCAGTGACGTCAACGCCATACTCTCCCACGTCCAGAAAGTCTGTTCAAAGCAGTTGAAGATAAGAGTACATCCTATTGCCACAGCCACATACCTAAAGAGTAGAGTTTCTCATTTGTGAAGGGTTCCACTAGGACAGCCAAAACAGGGAGCTGGTCCATATTACAAGAGATAGTCTCCCTGGGAGGGAAGTGGAAATTGAGACAGTAGACAGGGGTGACATTTGTCTAAAGGGCCAGGATATAGGAAATTGCTCATAAAGTTTCAAATCTTTCCTCTTTTCAGTAGGAATCAGTCAGATACTGGACCAAAGTAGAGACGTTGTTACAAACTAAGGATACAACTAAATTGAGATAAAAACTGAGGGTCATAGACTTTAGAATGATCCCTGTTCCATTTTCAGCAGTGACAAGAACTGGTGACAGAAATTTTATCTCTAGCTAAGTAGGGTCTTAGGCCAAGTTATAAAGCTGACAGTTTTTGGACCTTCTTCCTGTTTTTTCTTTCCCACTATCCTATCATCTCCTACCCACATGCCTATTGCCTCATTCTCTTCTCAAGATGTCTTCAGCCCCACCTTGTCATGTTCTCTTGTTAACGTTTGTAAAGTAGTTAGAACAGAGCCTAGCTCATGATAAGGAATAGATAGGTTTGTTGAATAAAATAAAAAATTTTATAAGTAAATATTCCTCATTATTATCCCTAGAGTTCAATCTCTGGAAGGTGTTGATAATTCTAAATAAATAATTGGGACTCGGATGTGAATTAGACTTATTCCTACTAGGATGCATTTGCATTTAAAAAATAGAAGCCTGTTAATACAGGATTCTTACAGTGTGTCATGCAGACTTGGGGGGTAGCAAAGAGAACTGAGAAGGGCTCATTCCTCACTGCTGTTTGCTGTCACCTGGTTCTCCACCATCCAGCCTCCCTCTTCACGTGGTTCTCCAGTTAGGCACCTCTGCGCTGTTCCCAGTGACACCGGCAAGAATTTATATCTAATATTGAAATCCCCCCGCCCCTTTCAAACTGATTATGTTTCTTATTCATTCACAAATGCCTCAGCCTACTCATAAGACCTCTTTCTTATTCTTTATTAATCCACCCGGACATGCTACATTGGTCGCTCTTCCTGCATAAAATCCTTTACAATTAAGTGTCTTGAAAATATGTGTTTACAATGTGGTAAAACCAAGCACTGGTTGGACAGTGGGAGGAAAAAATTAGTAAAAGGCAGATAAAGCATTTCTGAGAATGCAGAAATTGTTAGAATGGTTACTAAAGAGTTGGCTTTTGAATGCTACAGTTTAGGCAGAGACTTGCTAAAATGGTCTTGTGTCACTCTCTTCAAGGAAAGAGCTCAGTAAATATTGTTTATTGTTTCCTTCAACAGAAAAACATTGTTTTGAAGAGCTCTGCTACTGCGTTGTTGGTTTTTCCTTTTGGAAATTAGATGTGTGGGTAGCAGCAGTATGTTCTATTTTAACATAACTTGTTTCTGTCTCTGGATTCTGTAATATTTTATACATAGATGTTTTATAATTTTAGAAAATGAGAGGTTAAATTATGACAACAGTATATTTACTTACACTATTCTTCAAAAAATAAACTGGATGAAAGCTAGGTGTTTCATGAAAGGCACTGTATGACAGCAGCTCCCAAATGCTAGAAGGAGCTGCCCTGCCACAACACGAGGCCAAGTCCAGCTTGTCAGTTATAAAGCAACTTAAAGTGGCTTCCAGTAGCAGCAACACAAACAGATTCCTGTGCCTGCCACACCTCAGACTCTGTATGTCATAGCTAAAAGTGGTTGCCCTGGCCTGCGTTGCTCAGTGGTTAGAGTGTCGGCCTGTGCATTGGAGGGCCGAGGCTTTGATTACTGGTCAATGGCACATACCTGGGTTGCAGGTTTGATCCACAGCCCAGGCTGGGCAAGTGCAGGAGGCAACCAATAGATGTCTGTCTGTCTCTCTCTCTCTCTCCCCAATCCCTCTCCACTCTCTCTAAAAATAAAACCAAAAAAACAAAAATCAATGGAAAAAATATCCTTAAGCAAGGATTAACAAAAATAAAAAATAAATAAAAACAGTGAGAATGTGTGGGTGAGCAAAGACAGGTGCCCAGAAGCTTTGGTGCCAGAGAAACATGAAGAGCACCTCGTCCTGGAGAGAGAATTGAGTGAGTCCTGTGACCAGCCCAGAGCTCTGATACCTATTCCAGAGGAGGTTAAGGGTCTGGGATCACCCAGATGTCAAGATGGGGGTTCATTTTAAGATGGAGTCACTTATGTTCCTCATGCTAGGCTATTTTCTGATTCCCAAGTAGTTGTTACCTTTTGTTCATCATATTCTAAGTTTTCCTAAACTATTTTGGGGAGTTTAGGTTCCTAGTGTCAATAAAGAAGAATTAACAAAGAAATTCCTTCCCCGTCATGTGACAGAGCTTAGGCATTTATTTCTTATCTTCTTCGGGAGCCTGACATTTAATTACTAGCAAGAAAGATTATAATTCAAAAGAAGCCTGGTGGAATTAGGGGGGGTAGGGGGCTCTGGTCAATTACATTAAAACTCTAAGTTAAGAGACTTCCGGTCAAGACGGCGGTGCAGGTAAACGCGGTATCGCGTCTTCCCACAACCACATCAAAGTTACAACTAAACTACAGAACAACCACCATTCAAAACTGCCTGAAATCTAGCTGAATGGAAGTCCTACAACTACGGAATTAAAGAAGCAGCCACATCCAGACTGGTAGGAGGGGCGGAGGCACGATGGGCTGGTCCCACACCCACGTGTGGCGGATAAAAATCAGGACACCTTGGCAGGGAAGGTCCTCCCTGAGGACTGAGGAGGTCCCCGTCCCACACCAGGTGCCCCACTCAGGGTTCCAGTGCCAGGAAGAGAAGTCCCATAACTTCTGGCTGGAAAAACCAGCAGAAACTGAGGCTCAGGGAAGCTGAAGCGGCTGGAGCCCCAGGCAGCTCCCTAAAGGGCCCACGCACGGACTGATCGGACTCTCTCCCTCTAAGCTCAGAGGGGAGGCAGCTCAAGGGGCGCCAGAGACATACAGGGAAGAACTGAGCTGTTTGGCACCGGAGCGAGGGCTGGAGAGAGGGCTTTCTCGGGGACAAACATGCTGTCAGAGGCCTTTGTTCCTTTGGTGAGCCCTTCCCTGTGGCGGCAGACAGTCTCCATATCTGGGACTCCAGAAACTTGGCTCACACTGGTAGCCCCGCCCTGGTGACTCCCTGAGGCCCCGCCCCACCCAACTTTCAGGCCCACCCAAGCTGTTGCCACTTGCTTAACCATAGGATTGGCCTGTCTTGGATCCTGCATCAGGTTTTTCCTAAATTCTTTCTAACAAGCAGCATCTGGTCTCAGCTAGCCCCATACCTCTCATTAAGTAATACACTGAAACAAACACAGGGAGGTAGCCAAAATGAGGAGACAAAGAAACAGGTCCCAAATGAAAGAACAGAACAAAACCCCAAGAAAAGAACTAAGCAAATTGGAGATAAGCAACCTAACAGATGCTGAGTTCAAAATACTGCTTATAAGGATGCTCAATGAACTTAGTGAGAACCTCAGTGAACTTAGTGAGGGTCTCAAGAGCATAAAAAAGGGCCAGTCAGAAATGATGGATGCACAGTCAGAAATGAAGGAGGCATTAACTGAAATAAAGAATAATTTACACAGATTCAATAATAGAGTACGTAAATCCAAGAAGCAAACCATCGATTTGGAATATAAGGAAGCAAAAAACGCCCAATCAGAACAGCAAAAAGAAAAAAAGCATCCAAAAAAATGAGGATAGTGTAAGGAGCCTCTGGGACAACTTCAAGCGTGCCAACATTCGCATCTTGGGGGTGCAGAAGGAGAAGAGCGAGAACAAGAAAAAGAAAACTTGTTTGAAACAATAATGGCAGAAAACTTTCCTAACTTGGTGAAGGAAACAGACATACAAGTCCAGGAAGCACAGAGAGTCCCACACCAAGACACATCATCATCAAAATGCAGAAAGTTCAAGACAAAGAGAGAATCTTAAAAGCAGCAAGAGAAAGGCAGCTAGTTACCTACAAGGGAGTTCCCATAAGGCTGTCAGCTGATTTCTCAGAAGAAACTTTGCAGGCCAGAAGGGAGTGGCAAGAAATACTCAGAGTGATGAAAAGCAAGAACCTACAGCCAAGATTACTCTATCCCGCAAAGCTGTCATTTAGAATCGATGGCCATATAAAGAGTTTCCCAGAAAAGAAAAAGTTAAAGGAGTTTATCACCACCAAACCGTTATTATGTGAAATGATGAAGGGTCTTTTTGAAGAAAAAGATAAAATATATGAACAAACAAAATGGCAATGAATACATATCTATCGACAATGGAATCTACAAACAAAATGAACAGGCAGAACAGAAACATTCTCATAGATACAGAGAACATTTTGTTGGTTGCCAGATGGGAGGTGGGTTGGGGGAATGGGTGAAAAAGGTGAAAGGATTAAGAAGTACAAATTCATTGCTAGACTGACAAACCTCAAAGGGAAAGGGGTTGTGGGGGGGAGGGTGGGAAGAAATAAACCAAAGAACTTAGATGCATAACCAATGGACACAGACAATAGTGTGGGAAAAGGCGGGAGGGGGGAGGAGGGGGTCAATGGGGGGAAAATGAGGAACATCTGTAATACATTCTACATTCAACAATAAAGATTTTAAAAAAACAAAAACAAAAAAAAACCTCTAAGTTAAGAAAAGAACTCACTATATCAACTTGCTGTGCATGGTTTTACTGTATAGTATGATGCTTGTAAAATAAAATTTAAGTAAAAATACTACTTTTTCTATTTACCTAGTACAGTATTGCTTTAGAATGCTTTGTATACAATGAAATGCAGCATTTTGTCATTATCAGTATTAATTAAAGTAGATTAACACTTAATGGCTAAAAGATTCAGTTTGTTGGCCAAATAATTTAACACAATTGTTTCAGAAAAGTAGTGAAATTATATTAGCAAAGGATGGACATCCCCATGTAACAAAAACTGAAGTGACTTAATTCGAATTTAATTCATAAACGTCATGTCAGCAAATGTTATTAAATGTGTATGTGCCAATTTTAAGGGTTAATTTTCTTTTAATGAAATCAAAACATTATTTTTGCACTAACATAACTTAAAGATGTGTTCTTCTTATTTGTTAAATAGACAAAAGATGCATCACAGGCAAGGTTGTTGTTTACTGGCAGCCAGACACACACACACACACACACACACACACACACACACCCCTACATACATACCTGGGGTTCTGTTGCTAGACTGTATTGTGATAGACAGCTAGTCTCAGTTTCATGTGCTGTTTCCTTCCATCCAGAATTTCTGGAAACATCTCTGCAATTTATTAGTATCCTGGGGCTTCCAGAAAAATTACAGTAAGTAGGAGAATTGGAAATAAGTAATATCACATATAAAATTATGTTGAGGGTACATTTCAGCTGCCTGGTTGCTAAAGCTTTAGGAATTGCTGCAACTACAGTGAGAATACAAGTCTGTGAGATGGAGCAGCAGCACATTTAGCTGTGCTGCTAGAGGCTCTTCAACTAGTCTCACTTTTGGTATTTTTGTTTTGAAGTGTTTTAGTCTGTTCCAGCTGCTGTAACAAAATACCATAGACTAGGTAGCTTAAATAAGAAATATTTATTTCTCACAGTTCTGGAGACTGGGAAGTCCAAGATGAGGATGCTAGCACTAGAGAACTCTCTGGGGTCTCTTTCATAAGAACACCAAGTTCATTCATGGTCACTTCACCCTCATGTCCTAACCTCTTAAAGACCCATCCTCCTAATACCATCACATATAGATTTTGGAGGGGACACAAACATTCAGTTCATAACATAGAGTAATTCTGCATTTTGGGAACTATTAATTTGTCACCAGAAAATGTTTTGCTTTACTTTTTTATAAAAACATGCTGTGCATGTTAAACTTCATTTGGATTCAGAGTCAATGATTTTTTTTATTATATATCAGGTTTAGTAATAAAAATTAGGGGGAAAATAATCTATTTTTTCCCAGTAAGCTACTAGAGTACATTCATAGGTAAGGGTGGTATAATTGTAGAGACCATTTTGTTGTTCTTACCCTACCTCAAGATAATTTAAGCAATGAAAATAATAAATTAATTTCTGGGTAGCTCTTAATGAGAGCTACAGAGAGAGCTTTTTTAAGCTGCAGCAAGGATAGGCTTAGAAATAGATTCAGAAATGTATTAAGTATCGCCCTGGCCCAATTGGCTCAGCGGTTAGAGCGTTGGTCTGTGGTACAGAGAGACCCAGGTTCAGTTCCCTCTAAGGGCATGTACCTCAGTTGCAGTTTGTCCCCAACCCCGGTTGGGTTTGTATGGGAGGCAGCCACTTGATGTGTCCCTTTCACGTTGATGTTTCTCTCTCTCTCTCTCTCTGTTCCCTCTCTCTCCCTCCCACCCTATCTGAACAAAAATGGAAAAATATCCTCGGGTGAGGATAAAAAAAAAAAGAAAGAAAAAAAAGAAATGTATTAAGTATGGACTTTAACAAAACTGTGAAAAGCCAAAAATAACTACTACTTTCATGCCTATTGTTTTAAGATACACCTAAGGACTCTCAGTATTTTTAATAAGATAGCTCTTGGATTACAACACTGATTTTTAAATTTTTTTATAGCTGCTAGGTGAACTGATCCTGGACAGACACAACTTTGCCATTATGACAAAGTACATCAGCAAGCCAGAGAACCTCAAACTGATGATGAACCTCCTTCGAGATAAAAGCCCCAACATTCAGTTTGAAGCCTTTCATGTCTTTAAGGTAAAGTGTAAGCTACAGATATAAAGTAGGCATTTGTTTTCCAGTTTCAAGTGACAAACTCCCTACTTTTTACTCTCCCTTATATTTGAGAAAAAGTAAAATAGGCAGTCTTTTGTTTTGCATGACTTAGGTGAAATTTTAGAGTTATTTTAATGAATGCCCATTTCTTTCTAAAAGGTTTCTAACTAATCCGTGTTTCTAATTTTTTTTTTTTACTGAGAAAATAGGTGGATACTGTTTCCCAAAAGTTACTGAAATATTCAGTGACTGAGCTAGAACCCAAACCCTGCGTGTGAGGATTTGAATGCTTTGCTTTCTGCCTTAAATGTTTCTTAACCTTAAATGAAGCTCTGCAGAAACACTTGAGTACTACTTACTTTCATTACTTATTCAGAAATGTTTCCGTGAATGCATTTTGCTGTGAAAGAAAACGCCCATGATACTTGCTATATCTTCCTAATACTTTTTTCTTTAATATGAGTAATAAAATGGCCTCCTAGAAACTTTAGACAACAGATTTTTGTACATTAGGGTTAGTGAGAAAAATCTAATCTATAATCCCATACTCCTAACCTAACTATTGTAAAGATTTTAGTAAATTTAATTTTTCTGTGCACATATTTGAAGGTGTTTTTCTGCAGCTCTGTTCATATTGTATAGAAAATTGATGTCAAATTTTATCACTGAGTGCTATGCCATCAGTAAACATTAATTCATTATCGTTATATGTCATTTCTAGAGCCAATAGTTCTGTTGGCATCATAGTTTATCACTGGACATATTTATTCTAGTTTACTTAAATATTCATGTGTTATTTATATTTAGGTTATTTCCATTTCTTTCTACAGTGAGTAATATTGCAATGAACATTTTATGTATCCAGCTAGATTGTTTTTTTGTAACATATTTAATATTATTTTTGGGGGATAAAGATCTAGAGTAGAATTAAGGGTTCAGAGAATTCTAGGCTTTTTTTTAGCCTTTATAATGTATATTCATTAATTGAATTTTTCAGTCTGTATGTGAGACATAGCAGTTTATAAGGTATGTAATTGATGCTTTGAAAGGTAAAAAAAATTTTAGTCCATCTTTGTGCTGCAGATCTTCATTGTCCAAAAAGTCATTAGAGCAATTTAAATCCAAAATTAATTTATAAATTTCATTCAATTCCATTCAAAATCCCAACAGGACTTTTCCTGAAACTTAACAAGCGAATTCTAAGATTTGCATGGAAGAGCAATGGCCTAGGATTATCTACAGTAATTTTGAAGAAGAACAGATAGGGAAAACCTTTGACCAGATTTTAAATTTACTATGCCTAGTCAAGATGGGTGAGTAGGAAAATAGTATATTTGCCTCCTCCCATGACCACATCAAAATTACAACTAAATTACACAACAACCATCATTGAGAACCACCTGAAGTATAGCTGAAAAGAAATCCCATAACTAAGGGTATAAAAAAGGAGCCACATTGAGACTAGTAGGAAGGGCAAAGACACAGAATGGGCTGGTCCCACACCCACACGTGGTGGTTAGGAATTAGGAGGGATATTTCTGCAGCCTAGGTCTCCCCTGTGGAGGAGGGGGTCTCAGCCCCATACAAGGCTCCCTAAACCAGGGTTTCATTGTGGGGAAGAGAAGTCCCCATAAATTCTGGCTGTAAAAAACAGCAGGGATTGTGGCTGAGAGGATTCCATGGTGAGAGGGAGGGATGCTGGAGTCCCAGGCATTACTCTTAAAGGGCCTATGCATGGACTTACTTGCTGATAGACTCAACTGCTCTGAGCTTCAGTGCTGGGGTAGTGACTGAAAAAGCACCAAGGACATATAGGAGGAACTGAATTGTCTGGCTCAGGGTGAGGGCTGGAGGGACAGCTTTGTTTCAGGCAGATGTGCTGACAGAAGCCATTGATCCTGATTGAGCCATTCCCCACCCAGCCTGCAGGCTCAGGCTGGCACCAAGTCTGAGTCTCTATCAACCTGGCTGAAACTTTTTGCCCTGCCCTGGTGATTTCCCACCCCACCCAACTTGCAAGCCCATCCAAGCCACTTCCAGTGGATTTTCTATACAAACAACCTGTCTTGGCTTATGGTTTGGACTTTACTAAATTCTCTCAAAGATTTACAAACCCCAAACAAGCAGCATCTGGCTTCAGTGTGCCCTGTACCTCTTGTTAAGTAGACCCAAGCCCGGCACTAGTGGCAGCCGGCCTCAGTTCACAGCTTGGCCTCTCTCAGTCACCTCCAAGCCCAGCATAAGCAGCAACTATTAGCAGATTACTTTGTAGCTCATAATAAGTGGCCCCAGGAAGGTCACGGGCAATGGCTGACCTTGGACTGCATCTGACCTACTCCTAAGAGACCCCAAAATGGGCACACTCAGTGGCCAGCTTCAGATCACACCAGAGCACCACCCAATCACCTCCATAAACAACATACCCAAAGGGTGGATTCAGCAGGCATCATAGCCCTGCTAGAGGGAATCCTGGTTTGTAAGGTCAGCCCCTGCACAACAGCTCCTCCACTGTAGACACGGTCAGTCCTGAGGGCCAGTCCCTCTCACTGGCAAGCCAATGGCAATCAAGGTTCAACTACAACAGGAGGGCAGAGACACACAACCCACACAGGAAAACACCTGGAGTACCTGGCTCAGGTGACACTGGTCCCACAAGACACCTACTACATAAGGCCACTCTACCAAGACTAGGAGACAGCTCTACCTAATACACAGAAAAAAAACTGGGAGGCAACCGAAATGAGGAGACAAAGATACATGTCCCAGATGAAAGAACAGAACTCCAGAAAAAGAACTAAACAAAATGGAGACAAGCAATCTACCAGATGCAGAGTTCAAAACACTGGTTATAAGGATGCTCAATGAACTTAAGGGGAGAGTAGAGGAAATCGGTGAGAACTTTAACAAAAAGATGTAAAACATGAAAATAAAGATAGAAAACGTAAAAATGAACCAGTCAGAAATGAAGAATACATTAGAAGGAATCAACAGTAGATTAGATGAAACAGTGGACTGAATCAGCAATTTGAAAGACAAGGCAGTGCAGAACACCCAATCAGAACAGCAAAAATGAAAAAGGGTCCAAAGATAGGAGAATAATTTAAGGGGCCTCTGGAACAACATCAAGCATACCAACATTTGCATCACAGGAGTACCAGAAAGAGAAGAGAGAACCTATTTGAAGAAATAATGATGGAAAATTTCCTCTAACCTGGCAAAGTAAATAGACACATAAGTCCAGGAAACCCAGAGAGCTCCAAACAAGATGAACTCAAAGAGGCCCATACCAAGACACATCATAATTAAAATGTCAAAGGTTTAACAGAAAGAAAGACACTTAAAAGCATCAAGAGAAATGCAGTTAGTGACATATAAGGGAGCACCCATTAGTCTGTCAGCTGATTTCTCAAGAGAAACTTTGCAGGTCAGAAGGGATTAGCACACAATATTGAAAGTGATGAAAAGCAAGGACCTACAACCAAGATTACTGTTCCCGGCAAAGCTATCATTTAGAATTGACTGACAGATAAAGAACTTCTCAGACAAGCTAAAGGAGTTCATCACCACCAAACCAGTATTGCAAGAAATGTTAAAGGGACTTCTTTAAGAAGACAAAGATAAAAAATATTAATAATAAAATGGCAACAACTACATACCTATCTACAATTACTTTAAAGGTAAATGGATTAAATTATCCCATCAAAAGACATAGAATATCTGAATGGATAAGAAAGTAAGACCCATATGTATGCTGCCTACAAGAGACCCACTTCCAATCAAAAGACACACACAGACTGAAGTAAAGGAATGGAAAAAGATACTTCATGAAAATGGAAACCAAAAAAAGCTGGGGTAGCAACACTTATATGAGACAAAATAGACTTTTAAACAAATTATCTGGCCCTGGCCAGATAATTCAGTTGGCTAGAGTGTTGTCCTGATATGCCAAGGTTTTGAGTTTGATCCCCAGTTAGGGCACATACAAGATTCAACCAATGGATGCATTAAATAAGTGAAACTATAAATCAATGTGTCTCTCTCTTTCTTCATCCCTCTCTCTATCTCGCTCTCTTAGAAATCAGTCAATAAATTTAAAAATTTTAAACAAAGGCTATAACAAGAGACAAAGGAGGACCTAGCAATTCCACTTCTTAGTATTTTTCCAAAGAAATCCCCAACACTAATATTAAAATTTATATGAATTCCTATGTTCATTGTTTACAATAGCCAAGATATGGAAGCAACCTAAATGTCCATTGATAAACAAATGGATAAAGAAGTGGTACATATATACATTGGAATATTACTTGGCCATAAAAAAGAGTGAAGTCTTGCCATCTGCAACAACATGGGTGGACCTAGAGGGTATTATGCTAAGGAAAGTAAGAAAGACAAATGCCATATGATTTGACTAATTTGTGGAATCTAAATAACAAATAAATGAACAAGCAAAGCAGAAGCAAACTTATAGATACAGAAAACATTTTGATGGTTGCCAAGTGGGAGGGGTTTGGGGAATGAGTGAAAAAGAGGACATGAATAAGGTGTGAAAATTGTCAGTTATAAAAACAGTCACAGGGATGTAAAGTACAGTATTAAGAATATAGTCAATATTGTCATAACTGTGTGGTGTCATATGGGTACTAGACTTACTGAGATGATCAGTTTGTAAGTTATATAAATGTCTAATCACTATGTTGTACACCTGAAACTAACATAATATTCTATGTTAACTGTAATTGAAAATAAAATATTATTTTAAAATATAAAACCTGAAATAGCCAACAGTATTAGAAAAAACTTATTATGGATTTATAATAAATGAAGACAATGTTGTATTGGCACAGAGATAGACAAATGAGAAATAAAACAGAGTAGAGGGCCTAGAAATAAACCTTAGTAAATATGAAACCTGATATTTGATAGTGGAAAGATTATAAAAATCAGTGAAGAAAGGGTTAACTATTCAATAAATGGTTCTA